CAGAAACCACACCTGGACCACAGAAACCACACCTGGACCACAGAAACTACAGAGGGATCAGTCATTCTGTGTCTCTTTTTCCTGTCCTCTCTAAATCCAGACAGTTGAGTCGAATGCTGCCCAGTCTGAGCCTGGTTCTGGTTCTGGTTCTGCTGGAGGTTTCTTCTTGTTCAAACAGTCTTTCCTTCCCACTGTCTCCAATGTGCTGCTCAGGATTGGAGAATGAGATGAAGTGGAGATGAAACCCAACCTGCTGCTTCTTTAGACACCTTATATTCTTGTTTTATGAAACGTATGTTGAACTTTAAGGTTTAGGAAACATCTGAACATCTTCTGGTTGATGTTGGGTTCTATTTGTCCAACACCTGAACTTCCTGCGGTCCCTTTGGGTCCCGACACCTGACCCGGCACTCAGCTGAAGTGCTTCACATTTAGAACTGAAACTTCTGACAGAGGCCTTCCTGAAGATCTTTATCTCTACAAACAGCTTTAAGTGCTTCACTGATCCCCTCTTCATCGTTTCCCGGAGCTCTTCATCATCACCATCGTCTTCATCCTCATCCTCAGCAGCAGCTGGTTTCTGGATCAAAGCCTTCAACCTGAGAAGTTTCCTTTAAACTTCTCTTTAATCCTGAGCACGTTGGGCTCACACTGAAAGTCCTCCGGTGTTTAAAGTGAAGCACGGAGGAAGGTCGATGTAAAGTGCAGCGAGGAGATCAAAACCAGGACGGAGGGCGTGTTCGGGTCCAACTCGCTCCGGTTTGTTGGAAAAGTTGGTGAGGAAGAGGAGGGGGGGTTTCAGGCTTCGATCAGTTAAGAGCAGAGATGCTGGGATTCTGCTCAGCTGGAGAGAAGCGTATCGACGTGGTGTCAGAACCCGCCTCCCGTCAGTCCCTCAGGTGGGCATTAAGACCCGTCTGAGCCATGGAGGAGCAGAACCCCCGGGAGGCGCTTTGATTCACTGGGGTTTCTCACAGGAACGAGGGGGGCCCGTTGCCCAAGAAGGGGCCCCCCGACTTAGATTACCTGTCAAAACGTAATCGCCGCCTCGCTACTTTTTAATTATCAATTCAGAGAGCGGCTGAAGCGGGATTAGGATTACTAACGGCAGTTAAGCTGCAAGGACTTCTGGGATTGTGGAGAGGATAACGAATGTTTGGTCGAGATTTCAGACGAATAAATACACTTGAAGTTAGCGGGTCCAGGTTTTATGAAAGAAAAACACAAAGTCCACATTAAAAAAGCTCCAACATGTTCCTTTTTGCCTAATTAATCCATGTTTTTTAATTTATTGTGGTAAAATGTCACGTTTATTTTATTTCTTTCCGACATGATAGTTTTTAATTTCGAACCTCCTGCCTTGTTCCAGTACCAAAGAAAACTCACCCATCAGTCCTCAACGACCTGTTGCCCTGACATCCCACATCAAGAAGGTCCTAGAGAGACTTCTGTTGGACCACCTGACTAAAACCAGCACATCAGGACCCACTTCAGTTTGCTTATCGGCGTGGACTTGGAGTTGAAGATGCCATCATACACCTGCTGCAACAAACTCACTGTCGTAGAAAAGGCAGACAGAACTGTGAGAGTCATGTTCTTTGATTTCTCCAGTTTAACACAATCCAGCCTGATCTGCTTTGTCAGAAACTCCAGAAGACTCAGGTGGAGGCCTCAACCATCACCTGGATCAAAGACTACCTGACAAACAGACCACAGTTTGTGAGACTGAAGGGTTGTGTGTCTAACCAGGTGGTCAGTAGCTCAGGAGCACCACAGGGGACTGTACTCGCACCACTCCTTTTCACTCTGTACTCCTCAGATTTCCAGTAGAAAACAGACTCCTGTCATCTGCAGAAATATTCCGATGACTCTGCAGTGGTCAGGTGGATCAGAGATGGACAAGAAGCTGAGTACAGGGAACTGGTGGACCGCTTTGTGGCATGGTGTGGAAACGATCATCTCATCTTGAACGTGAACAAAACAAAGGAGATTGTAGATTTCAGGAGAAACAGGAACAGGTCCAACCCTATTTTCATCATGGGAGAAGAAGTGGAGGAGAAGTATAAATATCTTGGGGTTCACCTGGACAACAGACTGGACTGGAAATGCAACAGTGAAGCTACAAGAAGGGACAGAGCAGACTGTACTTCTTGAGGAAGCTGAAGTCCTTCAACGTTTGCAGCAAGATGCTGCATATCTTCTATAAGTCTGTTGTAGAGAGCGCTGTCTCTTCTGCATCATCTGCTGGGGGAGCAGCACCAGAGCAAGTGACTTAAAGATCAACAAGCTCATAAAGAAGGCTGGCTCAGTTCTGGGGACTCCTCTAGAACCTTTGGAGATGATTGTTCAAAGAAGGATTCTTCATAAAATGAAGAACATTATAGACAACCCTCAGCATCCTCTTCATCAGACTGTCATACAACGTCAGACTGTCATACAACATCAGACTGTCATACAACGTCAGACTGTCATACAACATCAGACTGTCATACAACGTCAGACTGTCATACAACAACAGACTGTCATACAACAACAGACTGTCATACAACAACAGACTGTCATACAACGTCAGACTGTCATACAACAACAGACTGTCATACAAC